TTCATTGTTATCTCATTATGGGGCGTTCGCATGAAGAGAATTATGTGTGCTCTCTTCATCTTATTGCCCGGGCCCTTGACAGTAGATTTCCTGTTCACCTGGGGATATGAAGAGAACAAAGGTTAACCGCTCTCTGAATCACCCCTAAGAACCCACCCTCGGGACCCCAACAATATTAGCCCAGGTTAACCGCCCAGTCAACACACCTTGGAAGTACTACGAAGAGAACGTAGTGAAATCGCCGAAGAGAACGAAGTAAGAAAACGAGTGAAACGACGGAAACGAAGTACAATCGTTAAGTTCACGAATTATTATTCTTATTATTTTTTCTTATTGTCATTATTGCTATTATTACAAGTGTACACGCGTGAATAATAATATAATGCGTGCACGAAATGAGTGAACGAGGAAAAAAACGAAAAGAATACCAAAAGACCATTCAATGTCTAATATAAAATGACAAGGAATTTATGACGCGTGCATTTGTATTAGAAATTTGGCCTTTTAACACGGGCCAACATAAGATCATTTCACTCGCCCGTAATACTCTTTTACTGGATTCTTCATTCCAATTCTCTCATTTTGCTTGTTTAATTGAGTTGTAAGGAGTGAAGATATGAATGACGCATGAACGCAATTGTACAAAAAGGCATATGATGTAATATAAGATGTATATAAGGACTTTTAGGACGCACGATTGACAATTAAATTTGCCCTTTTCCCCTTAATCATTATTACGCGGCTGCACTCATGAAAAACCAATTTTGCCGCGTATTCGTTACGTTCATAATCTTCGTACGTTTCATGCATTCGTAAACTACTTTATAAACATACGAATATTATGTAGAAAACGTAACGACCGAACGAAGTGAATACAGTGAATGCTTTAACGAAGCGAACGAATGTAATGCATGAACGTATGAACGTAGCTCGCGGGGATATTCAAATTCTCTTCGTACACCCCGCGATACATTAATAAGGGAGTGAATGACACACGCATTTACATTATAAACTTGTGCATGAATTAAACGCGTGTATGAATGAACGAATTTGGGTTTTTAAGGGGGCCACAAAGTACTATTAATATTGCCCCCTTAATGGATAAAGGACTAGAAAGATAAAGAACCAAAAGATTTCAAAAAAATGCAAATACAAAAGCTGTAGATTATAAATTTATGAAATTCCAATATTCTAAAGTTAGAAAGGTGTGCAAAAAGGCCTCATAAATCACATAATTTTCTAGCCCTTTTTCGTGAATTTCATTCACACCTTTATTATTATTTGAGAGCGGCCTGTCATGGGGCCTGCGTTTTCCACGGTGCATGTTTTGCCAATGTTGCGTGCACCCAACATATAAGTCGCGATCATTTTGTTGAAGTACCCCATGTCGACTATGTTATTGTGAGTAAAGCTTTTGGTTGAAGCCAGCTACACATGCTGATCGGGATGTGCTTCGTGAACCAAAGTGTTGAATGAACAGGAGTCCACATGCCAGATGAGCGGGGCGAGGGGACATTGTCGAAGCCTACTCCTAAACCTTATTCGTTTCTGGTTTCGTCCCAAGCCTTTTACTTCACTCGCTGAACCTTATGCCTGAAGTATATTCGCTTAATACTTAAGCCAAATCCTATTCCTAGACCTGGACCTTTTTCGTCTAAGATTAGGGCCAAACCTTTTTCGTCTAAGATTGACTGAATAAAAACAAAGGGGAAACAATGCGTGAGCCGTCCCCCAAATCAATGCCTACAAAGTGTCGGGCTTGCCTCCTGTGGAAATGCAAAGAACATCCAGAATAACTACCCATGTCGCGTATGTATATAGGCCTATATTATATAGGGAGTATGTATTGTCTGAAAAAGGTAGAATTCTACCCACTAAATAAGAACATGGAGATGCGAATAAATCTATTTTATGTAGGCCTCAGAGAAGCGAGAATACTGTGAGCAAATATCCGTTCACTCCCTATGCCTAAACCTTTTTCGTCTAAGATGTTGGGCCAAACCTTCTTCGTTTAAAGATTAGTAGGTAAAGCTGAAGTTCCGGGGAAAACAATGAGTGAGCATTTTCCCTAAGCAATGCCTGCATATGCAAAGAACATGTAGAATAACTGTTCACATCGTGAAAGTATCTAGGGTGTGTGCATTGTATATCAAATCGAAAACATGAAAAGGAAAGGGCCGTAATCCTCAAACCCTAAGACTAGGAAGTATTTGAGGGCATGAAGTGATGCGAGAAAATAAATTATGTGTACGTCCCAGGGAAGCGAAATACTGTTAGCAAATAGCCTGTCAATATGTTCTGGGTTCTGTGCCTGCGCAAAAGCCCGACTTACTCGCAGTCTCCAAAAGAGTACTCATTTCTCATGGATAAGACTCACACGTAAACTGTAAGAGGTAGAAAGAGCTTTCTACCTATAAATCCCGAGCCTTCTAGATTGTAAGGATTTTCAAGGTCTCCTAATTCTTGGGGGCGCCGGGGGCGGGGCACGCATTCTCGGCAAAACAGTTCGAAATACAGGAGCAATCTGCGGGGATGTCCTAAGGCCTGGGCCTCGGCGGATTTGACTTGGACAATAGTGCTTTAGGCGTGACAGGGAGAGGCGCTTGGGGTTCCCGAGGGTGGGTTCTTAGTGGCTTGGAAACAGAGGTTGGGTCTCAAGGTGGGAACAAGAGTGTGAGAGATGAATGGTACGTCCTAAAGGTGAATCCATGGGCATGATATTTGAATTGGGGTCAAGTGAAGCATGAAGTCAACAATGAACAAGAACCGGACAGTGATTGACCAAGAGCTACAGCATTAAGGGGTTTAAGTGCTCCTTATCATGAGGGTGACGAAGGTAGAGACCAAGAACCCGGGATATAAGGAGTCAAGGTATGAGAGAAAGAGAGTACACGGGCTTCATATTATTACTAACTAGCCCGTGTGCGTGAATACAATAATAAGGAGCGAGAACGAAACAAAACCAGCTATTTACTTTCAAAATCTTGTTTGCGCTTGTAGCTTAATTGTAAACTTGTGCACGAATTAAATGAGAAAAGCGCACACAATATAATTAAAGTGAAGAGAACTAAATAACCTCACAAAATCTCCCATTAAATTATTGCGTGAATGAAGTGAATTAAAGTAACGAAGTTCATGTATTCACGCTACATTCACACGAATAATTTGCAAGGAAGGGTTATTTTGGGCGGCTCTTTTATCTCTTTTCTTACGCCGCCTGAACACTAATATCATTATAACGTGCTTATCGGGGGATGACTGCTTGAGATAAGCTATGGTAAACTGTAGTCTTTAGGATAGTGTTCTGTTTTGCTCATTGGGGTGTGATGGCTGAAGATATGATAGCTAAGGTACAGTGTTTAATATAATTAGTGTTCAAGTTTTGCTTATGAGGGGATGATTGCTTGAGGTATGTTCGCGAAGTTATATCTTTTAGGCCTGATTGCTTAAGATACTGCAAGACCTCGAGGAGATATATAGTTCTGGAAATTGGCTTTTAGGACAGTACAGCACATTATTGTGCAAGCAAACAATAGGGACAGTACAGCACTTCTGCAGTCTGGAGAGGCGAAAGTGCTGTACTGTCCCTATTTTCTCGTCCCCAGGCAAGCCCAAAATAGGGACAGTACAGCACTTCTGCAGTCTGGAAAGGCGAAAGTGCTGTACTGTCCCTATTTTCTCGTGTTCACGCAAGCACAAAATCGGGACAGTTCAGCTTCTGCAGTCTGAAGAGGCGAAAGTGCTGCACTGTCCCTATTTTTTGCTTGCAGGTACCAATAAAGTGCCGTACTGTCCCTAAGAAACCTACAAAAACCCAATCTTTTGGGAACTACCGAGGGCTCCAGGGCTGGTAGTGCTGGAAAGATTGGGTTTTCTTGTTGTTTTCGGGACAGTACAGCACTTTATTGGTACCTGCAAGCAAAAAATCGGGACAGCACAGCGCTTCTGCAGTCTGGAAAGGCGAAAGTGCTGTACTGTCCCTATTTTCTCGTCCCCAGGCAAGCCAAACATAAGGACAGCGCAGCACTTCTGAAGTCTGAAGAGGCGAAAGTATTTTCTCGTAGGCAAGCAAAAGTAGGGACAGTACAGCACTTCTGCAGTCTGAAGAGGCGAAAGTGCTGTACTGTTTTGCTTGGAAAGATTGGTTTTTTTAGGTTGTTAAGGGACAGTACGGCACCTTATTGGTACCTGCAAGCCAAAACTAGGGACAGTACAGCACTTCTGCAGTCTGGAGAGGCGAAAGTGCTGTACTGTGCCAATTTTCTCGTCCCCAGGCAAGCAAAAATAGGACAGTACAGCACTTCTGCTGTCTGAAGAGGCGAAAGTGCTGTACTTTTGCTTGCAGGTACCAATAAAGTGCCCTACTGTCCCTAAAAAAACCAATCTTTCCAGCACTACCAGCCCTGGAGCCCCCCGGTAGTTCCCAAAAGATTGGCTTCTTAGGTTGTTTCGGGACAGTACGGCACTTTATTGGTACCTGCAAGCCAACAATAAGGACAGTACAGCACTTCTGCAGTCTGAAGAGGCGAAAGTGCTGTAGTGTACCCATTTTTCGTTCCCGGGCAAGCAAAAAGCAAGCAAAGAATAAGGACAGTACAGCACTTCTGCCTATTTCCTGGGTTTCAGGCAAGCCATATTCGCATTTCGCAGACACACACACACACACACACATCGCCATAAGAACGAAGTCGGTAACACCAGAAACGAACCACCAGATCTTGGTAATCCATTTTTGGCATTGTGCATGTACGCATCGCTGTAAGAAAGAAGTCTGAAACACTTGGTTTGGCAGAAATATTTGCAGCATTTTCTGCATCTGCATGTATAGGAAAGAGTATGTATATGGAGTGAGGAGACTCTGAACAGCCCTGGGGGTGGATCTTTGAGGGGGGGGGGGGGGGGGGGGGGGGGCGACCATTAAAAAAAAAAAAAAATATATATATATATATATATACCCGCAACCTTTAGGGTCTATTTTGTCTTGTGCCTTCCTTTACTACTTAAAAGACCTAGTCCAAATACAAAACATAAATATAAGTATATCTGTAATGATGTGCAGCTACGACTTCCAAGCTTATGTCATATCAGTTTTGCTCGCATAAAGTCTTTGTGTGGGCTGGTTGCTTGTTTTTTTAATATGTCGTGCGCTTGCAAGCATAATCTGTTCGCAGAAAGTACTCCCTACACTTGAACTGTCAAACTTGTTTTTGTGCGTCTGTTTCTTGACCGCTGTTCCCATTGATGTTTTTGTGGGCTGGTTGCTTGTATTTTCCCTTTCCAAGTACAATCTGTCCGCAGAAACTACTCCCTACACTTGGACTGTCAAACTTGCTTTTGTGCGCTTGTTTCTTGATCGTTGTTCACATTGATGTCTTTGTGGGCTGGTTGCTTGTATTTTCTAGGGTGTCATGCCTTTCCAAGTACAGTCTGTTCGCAGAAACTACTTACTCCCTACACTTGAACTTGTTTTTGTGCGCTTGTTTTGTGATCATTGTTCTCATTGATGTTTTTGTAGCTGGTTGCTTGTATTTTCTAGGATGTCATGCCCCTCCAAGTACAATCTGTTCGCAGAAACTGCTAAATCTGGAGACCATGGGAGAATTAAATTATTTAAATTATGTGAATTGTTTTTCGCGTTGTCGCATTTTATCCACAAAATGATGCACTTCCATAGTAATATCCAGACGCACCCCTAATGGAATTAATTTAAATAATTAAACTAATCCAATTTATTTAAATAATTTAATTCGGCCGAGTTAAACTATTTAAATTGTTTTTTCGCGTTTTCGGATTTACATTCTGTGTTAAATTTAGATTCGGCAAATTTAACTTATCTAGTATATTGAAATAACATTATTGTACAGCGAAAGAAATAGACGTCAAAATAGACCCGAAAGGTTGCTCTCTCTCTCTCTCATATATATATATATATACATATACATACATATACCTGTCTATATTTTGTGTATCTTTCAGTATAGGCTTTCTCCAAAACACCCGCACGGAAGAGGGAGGCAGCACGGGGCCTTCTCCTCGATGCTTGTCTCTATCAGAGCTGCAAACCTCGGCGTGAACTCGAGGCACTCGTGTGACAGGCTCTTGACACACGCTCTTGACACGCTTTGAGCTGGGGCTCCTGGTGGGCGGGATGCCAAGGACGGTGATTCCGTGCAGCAGCTCCTGCACAGCCTGCCGTCAGCACTGCCGTCGTGCACAAAGTGAGACAAAGTGTACCGAGCAAGATCCAATCCTGCTCTCAAAACAGAGCGCAAACTGCGTGCCCCGAGAACAAAAAGCACGGGGAATCTTGGCGGCCTGCGGCGAGCCCTGGGGAACAGCAGTTCTCTTAAAGTGGTTCTCTCAAACTGAATTCTCAAAAATTGAAAATTTATCATAGATTGAAAGCTTCCACAACACAACGGATCATCCGGGGCCGCGACGAAGCCTTCTATGCTGAGCACTGCTGTAAGCCGCGAGTCGCCCAGTCCGGCGCTCTTCCTCATGGCCCCCGTGCTCAAAGTTTTTTTGAGTCCTGCTCAAACTTTCGTCCGTTTTGGGGCCCACTAGGCTTCGGGCATCCTGCGCCACAACTCTCCCAGCTCCGCAGAGTCCCTGAAAAAAAAGAAGAGAAAGGAGCAACGTGGCACTCGCTCTGCAAAGCATTGCACAAAGCATTGCACAAAGCATTGCACATTCGTCTGTCCATGTGGAATCGCCCTCGCCTGCACCGGCAACCAATCTGGCTACAGCCCTGGAACCTGGCATCTCTGAAAGCGCCAAGATTTGCACATGAGTAGCAAAGGACTCGGCCGCTGCAGTGGAATGAATTGGAAAGAGTTCCGTCACGAAGTTTCAGACACGTTTCTGTGTTTCAGCCACCGGCAGGGTGGTAGAATGCGCAAGGAGACAATGCAAAGGAAGGAATGAGAGGACGCCTGAAACAGCCACATTCTTGTGTACATACTTTAGGCTAAGCACAGTTTCAGCCTTGAGCATACTTGAAGGGCAAGGCGAGGCCAACGAAAGCTAGCCCTGAAACCTTAAACCCTAAGACCCTAAGCCCTAAAACCAGAAACCCCGAAAGCCCTAAACCCTAAACGGTATGACGCGAAGCCCTAAACCCTCTAGAACCACAGAACCCGAAAGCAAAAACCCTAAACCCTGAACCCCAAAACCCTAAATGTGAAGCCAGAGGATGATGTTTATCATTCCAGCATTGACAACGATGATGTGTTCTTGGTGAGCCCGATCTCCCGTCACCTCCCGAAAGGCGAGCGACGCAAGCCGCAAGCCTCTTTGTCCGAGTGGAAAAACCGGAAAGTCCGGATGCAGGCGCGCGGGGATGTTCAAGCCCGACGTAGCTCCCCCGGCCCTTGTCTCACGTTGGTCGCGGAGCCTGTGTGCACGTGCAACCAGTGACTAACAATGTCGGCGACGGCGCTGATGAACCACCTCCAGGTTTCGAGGGAAGGCCTGAAGTACCACATGTGGAAGCACCGGAGATGCCCCCCGATACTTTGCTTTCGTAGCGCAGCTCGGCGTGAAGTGCACAACTTCACACCCAAATCCTCATGCGCACAAAGGAGGGTCTTCAATGCGAAGCTTAAATGCAAACCGAGGGGGGGTGGGACGAAAGGTCTGAAACGGACAGGGCAACACAAAACGGTAGCGCGAGCAGAAACCGTCACCACAGATCTAATTCTCTCGTTTACGTCATCCAGACCCGACGCCGAAAGGCCACCACAGGACCTGCGCATCACGAGCATCAGCAAACCTTCGTTTCTCCAAAACTCACAAGACACCTCTCTAGTAACTCTAGCTTGCGCTGGGTATTCAACGCTCAAGTTTGAGGGAGGAGATTTCGTAACAACAGATCACGAGTCAACAGAAGCAACCTCCCTGAGAATTATCGAATCTGCAAGGTAGACTGGGCCAGAATCTTGATGTCCGCAGCGTCGCTCAGAATCGGCAGGATCTCTACTTCGAGCTCACCACACATCCTTTCCGACTCTAAGTCTCTAAGTCTCTAAGTCTTTCCTAACACACTGCAAGTCTCATCTCCTCCGCGTTTGCCAAAGGCTGGCTAGGCTCGCCCCGTCAACACAGGGAACGGGTGCCCAGACCTGCCTACAGGCACGCAAGCTGCAAAACACACACACACACACAGACACACATAGACACAAGGAACTGCCATGCTTTTACACATTGTATTGTTCTCTATCTGTTTTTCGGGTTCGCTTGATGCTGTTCAATTTGATGTTTCTCCTTGGGCCTCACACCCCAGCGCCGCAGCTGCCGGAGCGCCGTGCGCCGCTCGCCCGCGTCGAGGCGCCAGAGCTCCAGGAAGGCGCCGGAGCCTCAAGGTAAGAAACCCAAACACACGCGTGAGAACCTGAAGCATCGGTGGTTCATGGTGGTTCCTTAAGTGTTCCTTATCACACGCTTCTTAATTCCGCTCACGCGGCGAGCACCAAGTGGCTTTGGCAGCGGCCATGGACACAAAGCCCTGGCAACCGGGGCAACCGGGGCAACCGGGCTTCCACGGCTTCCAGTCGGCTTCCTGTGAAGCATGTCGTATGTAACGCGAGCAGCTGCCGGAGGTGCTCCACGCCCGCGAAAAGGGCCTCACCCAACAAATTCGAACTGCTTTGATAATTTTGATAGGCCATGGAGAGGTTTACAGTTTTGTTTGCATCGCTGCGCGGGGATTTGTGTTCTTTGTCGCACCCCAGAACCCACCGGGGCTGAAGTCGGCGCCAGGCGTTGTTCCGGCGTTTTGAATGCATTCAGAAGGCCACACCGTATTGACGGCATCAGCAGTTTGGAGGTTCTGTTGCGCGCTGGGCGGTTTTACCTGCATTTTGAACACATGTCTGAAGCACCTGCGATTCAACTGCACTTTGAAAGCATTATATCCGCCGCAGCCGGAGCTTAGCGAAGACGCATTGTCCCCACCCTCAGCCTTGGCAGCACCCGCACCGGCTCCTCCTACCCCTTTCCTTCTACCCGGCCCTATATCTCTGCACGTAGATTGAAGGGTTCTCCCGCTGTCTTGGCTATTGCCGAGGCGGACCCCGCTGTCTTGGTTATTGGCGGGTGTCTTGGTTTCTTGCAGACCCCGCTACTCTCTGACGACGGATCCTGTCCTAGCAGAGTGGCATTATGTCTGCACACAACACGTCGCCCCTTCGACAAAAGACAATAGTTGCATGCCTGACGCCCCTAATCGTTCTGCTATCATACGCCGAGTGGGCCCAAAAAGCCTCTGCCTTCAAAAACATCCAAAATGCCTCCACACACAGCTGCCTAACTCCGCCCACAGAGCCATCTTGGGATGTCTTGAAGTGCCTCTCCAAAACCTGCGCCCACCCCCCCCAAAAAAAAAAAAAAACAAAAAAAAAACGTCAAAACGCCTCCAAGTCCCGCCAAGTACGCAACGGAGCCTCCCGCAACGAGCCTCCAAAGCCTTCTCAGAATGCCCCGTTCGTTAACAAGCCTTTTGCGAAAACATTCTCAGAACGCCTGACTCTACACACACTGCCCAACCTGAGCCAGCCGAAACACCTGCACGGCGCTAGAAGAAACTGATCCCCACACTGGGAAACCAACTGCAAAAGCACCGTTTTGAGCTGAGAGTTGATGATAACTTAGACAATTAGACCCCGGTATTGTAGGGCTGCATTTTCACATTCAAAAGCCGTCGTAGGGTCCAGGTGGATACAAAAACAAACTGTGAGGAGCAAATGAGGAGCAAATCAGGAGCAAATCAGGAGCAAATCAGGAGCAAATGAGGAGCACCTGCTGGGAACGGGCGGCCAGATCTGCATGGTTTCGCTGGACGCAGAGGCGGTGCCCATCCAAGGCGGTATCGACCCAAAGATCTACCGCGAGCTCCGGAAGCTCCTGAGAGAAAATCGCAAAAGAGCGAGAGAAAAGTTTGCAATTGCACATGTTCTACATTTGCCGATTGCACCAAGCACAGAGCACACAAGTGTCTCCTCTGGCTGGCCGGGGACTCGCAGCTGCGGCTGGCATTCCAAACCAATCGCCTGAGCGCCGACAGAGAACGTGAGAAAAAGTTAAGCCGAGAACTCAATTCACTGAGGATATCTGAGGATCTGAGAGACACTGAAAGATTGGAGCGACAACTTGAAAACGCCCCCGTACACGGGCCGCTCCGCGACGCTCCGCGCCGCCTCCCACGTTCGAGGGGGCGGGCGAATGCGTGGTTTTCTCGGACTCTGTTGAGGCGTGAATTCTCCGCAAGAGCCATCGCGCGGCCACATGACAATACACCGCCCCGAGATAGAAAATGGCGCCCCCAGATATTCTCCGCGGGTCGGTTTTAACATGTCAGCGCGCGTTTTCGGCATGGTGGCGCGTGCGTCGGCACGCCTTGTTGCCATCTCGGCAAAAGTTTTTGGGCGTGTCGGCGCGTGTATTTGGCAACTCGGCACGTGTTTTTGGCACGTCGGCGGCCGCCAAGCTTTACCATGTCCGCTTTTTTTTGCACGTCGGCCGGTTCAATGTCAAGCTCGCCCAACTCCCTTTCCCTCGCTTCTCCTGAATTCCTTGATTTGCTCAGAAGGAACCTCTCGTTCAACCTCTCACTCCGGCGAAATGAAAATCTTAGCAGGGGTTTCTCATGCTCGCCACGGCCTTAGCACTCTACTCCGCAACCCAAAACTCTATGCCCTAAATTCTCTGCCCTTAACCCTTCAAGAATGAGGCTTGAAGGATGCGCGCCGGGGCATCACATCAGAGGCCCCAGGGTTTGCTTGGAACGTTGAGGGTTTGGGGCTATTGAACACTGATGCGCTCTACTTTTGCCTATGACTCAGCGACTTCGAGCAGCAACATCGCGGTCGCTATACACTGACTGCTGTTAGTGCCTGACAGACAACAAAGCACGCGTGCCATGCGTGGGCAAGTGTTTGTCGAAGTTTCACAGATGTGAATACTTGCCAGAGCAATAAGGTTGCTGACAAAAGGTCGGCGATCGAGCTGGAGTGGACGAGGCAGCAGCTGTGGTGCAACGATGTCAGGACCGTGTTCGCTGAAGGCAGCTGACACGGTAGCAAAGTTCAGGTCTCGAAACCTTGCTCAGGAACCCACTACAATCCTCAGAGCAGTGACTTCCTGATCCGTAGCCTTCTCCGCGCCTTTCCTGCGTGGATCAAATGGGATGTTTCGCACAATCCGGGCGTTGTCCTAGGCATCAATATCAATGGACACATGGAACTCTGCATCCTGGCGAAGCCGGCGACCACAATAGCAGAACTCACCTTCCTCGATCTTTCCAAGGTTGACATCTTGCGTCGACGCGTCAGGGATGACTGTCTGCCATTCGATAGGGCTCTGCTTCATGTACTCCTCCGAGTCGCTGTCATCACTCTGGACTTCGTGTCCCATGTAACCGGCGACTTTAGGGCCTTCTTCTGGTCCTTGTCCAACTTAGCGTAGCCCTTGCTTGCAAACGTGGAGATACACCATCTTTCCCCTTCGAACGGCATCGTCGCAAGTGGCTGATCTGGACCGAACACAACAATCCTGCACTTGCTATCCAGCAACCGACCGCTGTGTCTGCACTCTTTCTTCGATGGCTTGGATCTCGGATCCAGAACTCATCTCCGGTGAACGGGCCGAGGCCGAGGCTTGTGAGTTGATTCATGGACCTGCTTCACGGTCGCCGTAGTGAGCCCTGCAAAGAGCCCGCCTGCGTCGGGAAGACCACTGGCCTTTGGCAACGGAGCGTAGCCGTGATAGCGAGTTTGCGCAAAGACACCAGGAGAGCGCAAGCTAAGCGGGCAACGATGCATCTAGATTGCAGTAGGAGAGTTCAAAAGGCTTGGAGAGCAAAGGATGCGCCGACTGAGGAGAGTTCCAGCTCTAGCTCGAGCCGAGGATGCAAATGACAAGACGGGCGAAGTTGATGAAGCCTTTGCAGTCGTCGTCACGCAGTGCGAAGCAGAGCCAGGAGAAGTGTGCGCATGTAAGTCACTCCACCATCTTTAGTACCTTCCCGGGTGACCAACAGGTGGGGAACGAGGTCGGTAGCACTAGCCTCCTACCAAGACTAGCGCAAGACGGAGTAGCGGCAAAAGGTAGCCTATTCCCGGCGCGCAGCAATGCAATGCGTTAGGACGGGCCTTCTTTTTCTGCGCGGACGGATCCCACTCGCGTAGCTCGGAGATCGATCTGCTTTTAGCAGATTGACTTCCCCACACGCAGCCACTCGAGCTACCACGGCGCTAGCTTTTGGGCCCTTGCTGAGGCGCCCTAGACCCAACCCCCCCTGGGGAAGTCAATCTGCTAGAAGCAGATAGTTTTCCGAGCTACGCGAGTGGGGTCCACCCACACAGGAAATCGCAGAAAAAGAACTTCCGTCCGAATGCTAGCGCGTTGCGTTGCTGCGTGCGAGGGAATAAGCGTAAGCTACCTTTTGACGCTATTCCGTCTCACGCTATTCTTGGTAGGAGGCTAGCGCCACCGACTTCGTTCCCAACCTTTCGGTCACGCGCAAGGTGCTACGGGGAAGCCGTGAGTAAGCTACCAACTACCCAGTCCAGGAAGTGATAACGGCGAAGAACACGATGATGAGTTCCGCTGGACACAGCCCGACGCAGTGGGTTACCGGGAGGAACCCAAATGAGCCAGTGGCTTCGCTCTCGCCTTTCTCACACAGTTGCACACACTGGGCTGAGAATCGCCCCTTTCCAATGCCTCCCGGGCCTTCGCTTCGGACTGTGTGACCTCCGCGTCTACCACTAAACAAAGTAGGTTACGACAGTGTGTACTAGCTCGATCTCGCATCGATAGGACAAACATCGACGGCGTTTTTCCTGTTATGTTTCGATCTATGCGACATTACTAGGGAGAGCCTACGGGAGAACATGTCTAGGCGAAGACATGTTCTTGCAATGTGAAATCGCGAGGCTAGGTCTGACGTTGGACTTGTTGTCCGTGTGGCCCCTTCAGGCCTGTCTTCCGGGACCCATAGCCTCACTCCCACCAGAGTCGCCGCTCAAGGGCTGCAATGGGTCTTTCTTAGCAAGGGCCAGCCCGGATCTTGTCCCTGCGCCGATCCGGTTGTTTTTTTACTCCTCGCTCCACAACGACCGCCAGCGCCCCAATAGCTCGGTGTTCGAGGGACATTTTCTGAGCGGTAGTTGGGGACCAAGCTAGCGCAGGCTTTCAGGAAACCCTGTCTAGCGGCCTCTGTGCGCAATGTAAATTGTAGGAAGAGCCATCTCACTCACAGCAAAAATATTCCCATCCTGCAAATTCGCAACTGACTCTCCCTGAATGCCCTGAAAAGGTTCTTGAGGTAGAAGTGAGACAATGTCGGGGCTTTATGCTTCACCATAGAGGGTACACTTATAAGCTCGCGAACTCCTTTCAGTACTGCGCTCCATACTTCCGCCTTGAACTGAGATTGACGCAAAGTAGATTGGATCCTTGCTGGAGGTAGGGCGCGGGGCAATGGTTTAGCCAACCATCTGCCTGACAGAGCCACCTACGAGATCCAAGGCAAGGTCAGAAAGCTCACCATTCTGGCCAGAAGAGGCTCGCGGGTAGTGGATACCTTAGACGACGAGCCAAAATGGGTCCTGAAAGTGGGGGAGCCTGCTGCGCACCACAACGAATGGGAGCTCTACTCCCTGGCCTTGGACAGCTGGCCACAGGTGTGCAAGATTTAAGTAGAAGTGCCCGGCCTCCCGGACATAGACCTGAAAGCCTACCCCCGGATGGCTCGTTCCTCCAGATGTGCATTATGATATGCTCCTGGCGCGGGTGGGTACTTAGGCATGCCTAACCGGCATCGCCTGACCAGTTTGGACTTGGCAAACTGGGGAACCCGTGAGCACTACGGTTTCCCAGCCTCACCCGGCTTACCTCGTTCTTTCGCTGGTTTGAGCAAGAAACCTCCACCTTGTGTGGCAAAGTCCAGAGGTGGATAAACCTCCATCATGCCAGCATCCAGCAGCTGGCAAGCCTCCTGCTGCACGAATTAAAACATCTGGACGAATGTTTCGTCGACGCGTTGGTCGACATGAAAATTCTTTATGAACTTCCGACCCCGGACCATGCATTGGCAAGACGCCTGCCCCGCTGGGAGCTGGTGCCCCTCAAGGCACGGGCAGCCGATGAAACCTAAGGAGCAAGGGAACCAGGAGGTCCATCCTCAAGCTACCAGAGTTCAACCTAGAACCTGGCCCGATCCCTCTAACAGCCTGAGGCCTTGAGGGGTACAGATGCCAGGAGGTTCTGAACCTCAAGCGGAGGCCAAAGAGGATGGTAGAGTAGGAGGAGGGTACCATAAGGCCAAACGGCCACCTTTGGAGTGCCACTATAGGGCACGGTTTCAACCCAAACACCAAGATGGTGGCTTGCAGAAGTTCGCCCAACTCGGAAAAAATAGATTAATCACCACATCAACACCATCTCGCTTGGTGTAACATGAGAGCCTGGCCATGTCCTTGACAAACCCCAAACGGCTTTGCGCGAACTGCAAGCGCAATAACGGAGCCGACTTGGAATCCGGAAGAATGTGAACATCCGACATAATTATGACAGCAGCACAGATCATGCCAGCTTGTGCGCAGTGAGCCGTTTTCACGCACAAGAAGCCGCGCAATACGCTCAGCGCTTGACATGACGATCCAAGCCGCTCTCAGAACGGAAAAGAGGAACGCCACCATCCCCGGTGATGGAGGAAGGGGCGGGCGGAGGTCACAAGCGAGAATGAGACGGCTTATGCGTGCTATAAGTCAGCACCGTACATGACCTTATGCGACCCAAGCCGTTGTCAGAACGGAAAAGAGGAATGCCACCCACCCCAATGTCTCCTGCTGCCAGTTTGAATACGGACGCACAGCGGACTCTACTTTTTGCCTAAGGCGCCTTCGAGCAGCAACTTCGCGGTCGCTATACATATTAATGCAATGACAGAAAACAAGGCACTACACACTAATTCGCCTCGGCTTCCTGCCGAGAAGCGTCTGGAGCAAGCAGACCCGGACCCCATGCAAAATTTTGTGGAGCCCCC